CCGTCTGGGCTTCCAGTTTCCACCCTAAGCGCACACAGAAGAATATGAGGTTGATACTAATTTATTTTCAATTTATTCAATGACAGCGACTACTGATAGGCCCCAGCAACTTTTCAAGCAGTGGAGAAGAATGGCAGAGACAGGTAAGGAAGTAGGTGAAACATTTCCACTCTCCTTAAGGAGACTGTTTGGTAAACAATAAGCCCTAACTTGGTTTGTGCTGTTTATTTGGTTCATTTCTATTTGTGCTCCCGCCCACCCCCTTGGGAGTCACGCGTATACAAATGCCATTGTCACCCATTTTCTTTTGCCCCTGTACCTCTTGGGCTCAGCCACAGAGAGGCAAGGCATTAAAAGAAAAAAAAAACTACAGCAATTATTTCTTCTGTTTTTATAGCTGCTTTGCTGTTTATTCTAGATAACCTCAACTCCAAGACTCAGGTTCTTCACAGGAGCCGTTACCATAAGAGTTGCATGGACAGTGTGGTGTTCCGGAGTGTCTGACCTATAATAATAATCATGACAAATGGGAATCATTATGATTCTATGCAGCTTTCTGTCACAATAGCAAAGTACTTGAGATATTAAAATTTTAAATAGAAAAGCTTTTGTTGGTTCATAGATTTTGAAGGGTTAAACCCGTACCCAATATTTGCCCTATAATGAGGCTGAGGGTCACAGTGGTGAGCACTGGGGCAGAGCTAAGCTGCTTTCCTCATTCCTAGAGAGCAAAATTTAAAAGGAAAGACTGGAGTCTTAGATCCCTCTTTGAAGCCATGCCTCCTTGAAATAGACACCTGACACAGAACCACAGTTGGTGTGGGAGGTCCTTCTGTCTATGTGTTGCTTTGATTGGTTAATGAATAAAGGGACTGCTTTGGGCCTATAACAGAGCTATAGGGGAACAGAGCTAGGCAGAGAAAACTAAATGGACTGCTGGGAGGAAGAAGGTGCAGTCGGGAGATGCCATGGATCCGCAGCCAGAGATAGTTGTGCTGAAATTACTGGTAAGCCATGGCCACGTGGCAATATACAGATTAATAGAAATGGGTTAAATTAAGATGTAGGAGTTAGCCAATAAGCAGTTAGAGCTAATGGACCAAGCAGTGTTTTAATTAATACAGTTCTTGTGTGATTATTTTGGGGTTGGGTGTCTGGGACAAACAAGCAGTCTCCTTGCAATACACAGTAGTGTCACTTTGGAGACCAGCTGCTAAGAGTAGACCTTAGGAGATGTCTACACCTTAGTAATGAGGTACTTAACAATGGAGTCAATATATGATAACATTTTAAGTCAGGGATTGACTCAAGCAATCAGAAGTAGTCAGAGTCCTGATAGGCAGATATTACAAGGAGAGGGACTCTTTGTTTGTCCCGGCCACTGAGCTAGCTTACACCCGAAATGATCACACAGAAACTGTATTTGTTAAAACACTGCTTGGCCCATTAGCTCTAGTTTCTTATTGGCTAATTCTTACATCTTAATTTAACCCATTTCTATTAATCTGTGTATTGCCACGTGACTGTGACTTACCGGCAAGATTCAAACCAGCATCTGTCTCAGGCATAAGATCCATGGTGTCTCTCACTCTGCCCTTCTTCCCAGCATTCAGTTCTGTCTTCTCTGCCTACCTAAGTTCTGCCCTATCAGGCCTAAAGCAGTTTCTTTATTCATTAACCAATGAAAGCAAGACATGAACAGAAAAATCTTCTATACCAGGCAGAAATGTACTACTATACTAGAATATTACAGACTGGAAAATTATAAACTTCATAAATTTATTTGTCTTACATTTCTGGACACTAAGGAGTGATGAAGGCCTTCTTGCTGTATCACAGTGTTATGTACTGTCCATGGGGACCCCAAAAGATCACCAGGAATAACAACTCACCAAAATGCAAAAGCAAGGTTTATTATCATGCATGAGTGCAAGTTGGCAGGGACCTCATCAGCACAGCAGGGAGAGGAGAGGAAGTACACAACCCTTCTAGAGGGCATTATTAAAGGCATAAAGCAGAAAAGTTAGATTAGCAGGGTGTGGGGTGATGGGTTCAATCCTGATTGGCTTGTGCCTAGGGACTTTTCACAAATTTTATTTTCAAACCTTGCCTGTTGCATGTCAAGTTTTCTTATCTGCTGACCTTTGGGTGGGGACATTCTGCCATTATCTGTACTTTACAAATGGCTACCCTGTTACTTTTACCCCTAGCCATTTCTGAGGACTGGAATGTTTTACGGGAAATAGCTTACACAAGACCCAAGATGGAGGCAGAGGACAAAAGGGAGGAACTTTAGTTCTTCAGGAGAATGGTGGAGGGCGTCACATGGCGAGAGTGGGAGCAGGGAGGAGGGCAGAGCCTCCCACCCTCTTTTATAATTAGTCCATTCATAGCAGCTGCTAACCTACTCCCACAGTAATGGCCTCACATCCATATTCATGAGGGCAGTGCCCCAACATCTTAATCACTTCCTAAATGCCCCAACTGTTATCACTAGCCTGATACCAATTATATTTCAACAAGAGTTTTGGGGAAACTCTTTGGGTCATGGTAGTCAGTCTATGAGGAAGTTTCCAGACTCAAAAATTCACAGTCCCTGAATGGAAATAGATCTTTTCAAGAAATGATTCTGACCCAGGATGCTGTCACTGTACATAATTTAAATACTCTCCTAAGCTTTTCTCAGTACATATAAAATTTGGGGTCCCCTATGGAAAAGGGTATACTTAGACCTTCCTGGAGTATTAAATACCAGCCCCGGGTTTATGTGACTTTCTCTGTAATTAAAACACTTCTATGGTGGTTGGACAGACAGCTTAGCCATTAAGAGTTCTTGCTCTTGCTGAGGATCTGGGTTCAGTTCCCAGCACTACAAGACAGCTAACAACCTGTGGTCCTAGCTCAAGTTCCAGGGGATCCAGTGCCCTCTTCTGGATTGCACAGGCACTGCATGTACATAATGCAAGACACACATTCAAGCAAAATACCTACAACCATAAAAAATACCCGTAAAAACAAACAACAGTGTTGTCTGTTGATATAGTCTGTTGATAGTTCCCTGTTGTTCTTCCCACGAACGACCACAAACTGAGTTGCTTTGTTTATGTATTTGTTTGTTTGAATGAACATACAAAGAATTAATATTCCTTCTGGCATTTTCAAAGAGAATTTGCTTTTGGTGATTCTCCTACCCACTTCTTCTCCTCCATCACCCCTCCCCCATGCTGTTGTTCCAAATTTACTCTAGTATAGTTTTAGAGACTGCAAATCGGAGATATTTTCTGCTGGGACCATCAGGATGTCAGGAGGGCTCTGCTCCTTCACAGGTTCCAAAGGAGAATCTATTTCCTCATCTGCTCCAATGCCTACAGACTGCCTGTGATTGTTCTTTATACTATGAAGATATATTATGGAGGAGGAGCCTACAGGGAGATGCTGGTGCTGTGGTAGTCTGAATGTCACTGGCCGCCACAGTCTCAAAGGAAGTGGTACTATTAGGATCTGTGACTTGTTGGAGTAGGTGTCACCTTGTTGGAGGAAGCCAGTCACTGTGGGAGTGGGCTTTGAGGTTTTCTATTCTCAGGATACTGTCTAGTGTATCACTTGACTTCCTATTGCCTGTAAGGTGTAGAACTCAGCTCCAATATTGTGTCGACCTGCATGCAGCCATGCTCCCCACCATGATGATAATGGATTGAACCTCCGAACTGTAAGCGAGTCACCCCAATTAAATGTTTCCTTACAAGAGTTACTGTGGTCATGGTGCCTCTTTCACAGCAATAGAAATCCTCACTTGGTGTGGGAAGTCCTTCTGTATATGTGTTGCTTTTATTGGTTAATGATAAAGTTGCTTTTGACCAATGGCTTAACAAAGTAAAGCCAGGTGGGAAATCCAAACAGAGATGTAGAGCAAGAGTAGGCAGAGTCAGTGAGAAGCCATGTAGGCACCACAGGAGACAGATGCCTCCACCAGAGCGCAATGAAACTTTGCTGGTTGGTCGCAACCTCATGATGATGCACAGATTAATGAAGATGGGTTAGTTTAGGATGTAAGAGCTACCTAAAAAATACTCTTAAGTGTTGGTGTGGGAGAATTGTCTGTATTCTGTCAATCATATTTTAATAAAACGCTGATTGGCCAGGCAGGCAGTATAGGCGGGAAAGCCAGACAGGAAGTAGGGGTGGAGCAAAGAGGCTGGGAGTATTCTGGAAGCAGAAGCTCCCTCAGCCATTTCCTGCACAGACCACCGAAGAGGCAACGTGTAAGCTGTCACACTGAGAAAGGTACTGAGCCCATGTGGCTAACGTAGATAAGGATAATGGGGTAACATAAGTTATAAGAGCAAATAAGTAGCCTGACCTAATGGGTCAATCAGTTTATAATCTTATGGAGTCTTGTGTGTGATTTTCCTTGGGGCATGCCAGCTGTGGGGTACCGGGAGGGATGGAAACCCCAACAAGCCCTCATGTTACAAAGTGTATTGCAAATAATATAGTTTCTGTGTGATTATTACAGGTCTGAGTGGCTGGGACCGAGCAAACAGCCTCTGTCAACACTTACTAAGACAGGTTCCATCCCTCCACACTGATATGGAAATTTTGAAGTACATTCCTGAGTAAGGGGCATAGATCATGGCCACTATTCAAGAACCTCACTAACTCAAAGGCCCCTTGCACTTGAAAAGTTGACACGTCGGGGTATACCCTCTGCAAGGGAAGGTAAGCCACTGCAGCCTCCGTATCCACCACAAAGAAGAACAATGCTCCCCAAAACTCCGGATTTTGGAGACACTCTGCACTGTAATTCGGTGTGCTTCTCCACCCCTTTGCTTAGTGCCCTGCCAGGCTGTTTCTTCTGAATAGAACTTGTAGTGAGAGTTCTGCAAGTCTATGCAATCGCACGAGTTTCCGTGCAGCTCGCGCTTTATGTCCCAGTAGAGGCAGTCCTTAGCGGAAAAGCCAAAGCAGTTAGGCCCAATAATAGAGTCATGAAAAATGCCTCAGAGTTAAAAACATCTTTATCAACTTCTTTTTAAAAAACTGTATCTTATGTGCACGAACGGTTTGTCTACATGTATGTCTGTGTACCATGGTCATATCTGGTTCCCAAAGAGGCATGAAGAGGATACAGGGCCCACTAGGAATGAAGCTATACATAACTGTGAAATCCCATGTGACTGATGGGATTCCAATTCAGGTCCTCTGGAATAACAGCAAGCTCTCTTAAGCCATAAGCCATCTCTCCAGCCCTGCCAGTTTCTGTAGACAGAGTCTCACTGTGTAGCCCTGACTGAACTGGAACTATGTTATAATTAATTATGCCAAAGCTTAGGGGACCTCCTTGAAGGTGGCTACAATGGCAAATGACTGCTTTCTATTTGAATTTCAGCAACTGCCTTGCTCCGGGGGTTATAGGAGCGTCTGAAGGCACAACCATGAAACGTCACGTGCATCCGTTTTCTTGAGCTACTATGACGAGCTACCACAAACTTGATGGTTACAACAATCGTGGTTTGTTCCCTGGTTCTGGAAGCGAGAAGTCTGAACTCAAGGGGTCCTACACTGAAGATTCCTTACTGTAAGGAAAATATCTATCTGCTCTAGGCCTCTGTGCTTATAGGTGACCATCTTCCCCCTCTCTAGGCCATTTCCCTCTGCGAGTGCCTCTGTTTCTCCATTTTATAAAGAATGAATCACATTGGATTAAATCCTCATCATTTCACACGCAGAGTACCTATATCCAAATGAGAACCTTTAGAAGATTCACTTTGAGTATCACCAACTAACTATAAAAACAGGTTCTCCAAGATGAATGGAGTTTTACTTGATCTTCTAAGTGATAAAGTGGACCCGGGCAGACACCTCAGACCACCACGTGCTATGGTAGAGACAAGCCCACCGGATACCACAAGGCCAAAACAAACACTGGTGCAGAGAACTTGGTTTCCGCTGTGCCTTCTCCCATCAGGTTAATGTCTCACTTTCCTTCAGTGGCTTTGTGGAGAGCGCCCTGTAACCAAGAACAGTGGAGGGGAGAGACATCTTTCTTTAGCAAACAAAGCTATCACAGCTCTTTGGGGATAGCTGCTACGATCAAAGCTCTACTCAAGAAATCTTCCTAAGACCCAGAACCTTGAGGGGTACATCTGCTTTTCCATTCTGTGTGGGGAAAGAGTGATGGGGTAGAAGATCTATGCCAACTCGAGTATTGACCAGTTGATTGACTAAGGATTTATTAAAAACACCATCAAAAGCCTGACACACGAAAGTCTCTCAAAATGTGCACCGAGTATGGAAGCAATCATGTAGGAATGGAAGATTTATCCCAGGAAACAAGATGATCTATTCTGTAGATGCGATCCAATGGCTCTTAGTGCAGCCCAGAGCTGACGTAGATATTACTGCTATAACTGCCCCCACTATTGTAAGTGCCCCAAGTGCTGAGAGCAACGGACAGCAAGGCGTCCATCTTATACTGTTCCCTGGAGGCCTTTTTAGATTGCTTCTTCAGTTCCAGCTCAAGATCCAAATAAGTCTTGATTCAAGTTCTTCGGGTGTTGGGAGAGAGAGGTGGAAACAGACGGGGCAGTCGGGAGACATAATGAAGGGGACAATTTGCGTACCTTAGTCCGTTTGTATGGCCTGCCACGGATGGCGATTTATAAAGAAATGGATTCCTTTACATTGTGGAGACACGGAGACCTAAAGTCAAATGATTTTGGTATTCTGGCTGTGTCCTGCACTCTCAATTGAAGCTCCAAAACTTCACGGCGGAGTAACTTGGTGGAGTGACTTAATGTCCCCATGCATAACCACCCTCCCTGTAAAATAGCACAATAAACCGTAGAGCAGTGCTTAAGTAACTTCCAAGTAAGCATTATTTTTCGTGTCTTGATTAGAAGACGCTGCAAAACTAGTGGAATCTCCCTGGGGAGGATTAATGCAGATATTCGGCCTGAAGTGCCATTCAAAAGTGAACAATCACCCTTTCTTGCCCTTTGCCAGCCAGACAGCACGGGACACCCAACTCCTCTCAGCATGACACACCTCTCACGGAAAGAGAACTGGTGGTCAGTTTCTGCAGTGAACTGTGAATCTGCCAAACCCCATGCCTCCTTGGACCTCGGTTTCCTCATTCGTCCCCGCAAGGAAGCAGCAGTTAAACCCCAATATGCAATGTCCCTTTCAGCAAAGGGGGATCGCTGTCCTCTGTGTTCCCCCCCCCCCCCACACACACACATAGGCGTCCTGCCCGCCACTCCCTGGCTCGCTCTGTGGTTCTCCCGCGATCCGATCCGTCCGCTGCCCCGCGCCCGCTCTGCACGCCGAAGTCTTTTCACTGAGCTCGCCTGGCGCTAACTAATGTTTAACTCGGGCCGAAACTTGGCGGCGAGCGCAGGGCGACTGCGTGCAGAGCAGCGGCGCAGGACGTCCGTCTCCGCGCGGTAATTTCTGCCTGCGCTCAAACACCAGAGCTCAGTTCAGAGGAGCCGCCCGACCATGAAGGTGAGTGCCCCCAGCTTTGCACCTCCCCGGCCCCTGGCTCGGGTTATGGGTGCTGTTTCACCAAACTCTCCCCAAACTGACCCAGATTCCTTGGAGGCAACCTGGAGCTGCCATTAGGCGGAAGCCACGGGGCCAAGTTAACAGGTGAAGGAACGTCCCGTCCTCCGCACCATCTTCTCCCTTAGATCCGTGGAGCGTCCTACTGAGACCCAGGCACTGAGCCTTGGAGGTCGGGGACAATCACCCGTGGAACGCACGCGGCACCCTCACTTGGCTTCAGACGGGTGGGTGGGAGGAGAGATGCCAACAAGATCACAAGATCATGCTCGGGGCCAAAATTCAATGGTTCCTGCCAGAGTGAACCCCAAACCCCATCCGTCTCCTCGTGCCCCTGCAAACCCCTCTGCTTCTGAAGGGGCCTAGGTCCCAGTCCTCTTCCCAGAGGAGGGACGAAGGCTTTTCTCTAATTGTTCACAATCTGACCTGCTTGCAGACACCGTGGAAGGTTCTCCTGGGACTGCTTGGTGTAGCTGCGCTTGTCACCATCATCACTGTGCCCGTGGTTCTCCTGAACAAAGGTAGACAACTTGCAACATCTTTTTATAAAAGCTAGAGTAACTGGAGCTGGGGTCAGGTGACATATGGTCACGCAAAGTGGGCTTAGCTTATAGGGGGCCTGGACCAGTGTATCCCCGCTATAGGACTGACAAGATTCCAAATGCCTTCGCTGCTTCTGGGGGCTCCAATGTTTAGGTTGTAAGCCTTGAGGCTTCCTCGTTTTGTCGTGTAAAACAAACGCGCACTTCCTGAAACTGGAAGAGAGGCTTGGTTTCTCTTCATTAAATGTAGTTGCAAAAATCTTAATCTCGAATTGATGACTTTAGAAGGCTGTGGGAAGAAAGAAAGAAAGAAAGAAAGAAAGAAAGAAAGAAAGAAAGAAAG